TGTAAATCAGACGGTTGTTAGTGTCGTTCATTAGAAAGAAGCAATAAGGATATGCATTTGTTTATCCCATATAAGCCAATGTGTCCAACACGTGGTTGTTGTTGTAATAAAATGGTGTGTGTGTGTGTAGTGTGTGTGTGGTGCTGTGTGTGTGTGAACATTGAGCAGTTACTGTGCGACCGCTACCGACTCCCCAACACCTGTCTCCACACCAGAGGCCCTTGTCTCAGGTCGACTATTTTCATTCCTCGGGTCCTCGGGTCTTCCCGGAGTTGATTTGTCTGCGCCAGTCTTGAAGTTAACCGTCCCATGGGCTCTTATTTCTGCCGGAGGGATCGAAGGAGCGAGGAAGCGATAAGATGGGAGGAGCGATTAATCGAGGAACCACCCAGTCCATCCTCCGATGAAGATACTCGCCCCGCCCCCTTACTGGTATTATCGCTCAACTGATTGACGATGGGCAGTGCATGCACTGATTCTCATGCTTCTTGTTCTTGACATTGAGAGCAGTACCCCAAGCGGAGTGAAGAAAATAAATGAAACTCACGAGAAGTAACTCCTCAGTCTTAAAATGTGTTTTGTTCAACTTCCATGCATCATTTAGTTACAAATATGTGATATATCTGAACAACAAAGTGGTCAAAAATCATTGTATTCATTTATTGGAAACATTTTCATGACTGCTTTTTTCGTTTTATATTTTCATTTACTGTCATTTCCATTCAGTCAGTCATTAAGTGCTATTACAATGTTAATGTGCTATCCACACAAAACAAAGTGTGCAATCCAATGAATGTTAATCTAACTGGGTTTTGATAGATAATATATATATTTTTCTTCTCAATTATTTTATTTCTATTGCGCACTCTAATCAATAGTAATCAAACTATTGTTCGTTTATACATTTTAAGAATGGCGTTTATCTTTTTTGAGAATGAGTTCTTATTTGATTTTATTTATTGGGGTCTACAACAGATGATACACATGTTTGTGTCAGTAAATGTGTGGCAGGGGTGTTTGTGAAAATAACGGGGACAGAGCTGCTGTCAGACGAACAGCTGTGCGGCGTAATCACAAACGGACGTCGCTTCACGTGACGCTCCGGAGGAAAGGACGTCCCATTGCTCTTAAAACTCATTTCCCTGCTTCTCGTGGTTTCCTTGCGTCCCTCCATGCTTCCCTGGAGGGAGGGACTAAACACAGGGAAACGACGCAAGTGAGGGAAGCAAGGATTTAATTTAACCGACCTGAGACGGGGGCCAGAGTGAAGTGGTACTTTACGACAGGGCCCGTAAAGGAGCTGGTTTCCCTGAGCGATGGTTCCATACATCTTTTATACACACACAGACACTCACTACCAGCTGGATGTTGCCTGCACCTTTTATTGACACAAAACTGTTAGAAATACAAGATAAAGGATGATGTAATTGTGAATACATTTGGAAAACAACGAACAGGGTATACAATTTCCCAAAAGTGCTGTATAAACCTAAGGAAATAAACCAGCAAACACAAGACATTTACTAAAATACTTCAAGTTTTAGCCACTAACATGAAAGATATGTTGTGCTTATTTAGAGGAATGTAAGCTATGCCTTTATCTCTTTTTAGACGTTTTTATGCATACCCTTCATTATATTCTGTCTAAACACACTTTTCTTCCCTCCTTGTACTGGCGTGGCGTGGCGTCTGCTCCAGAACCAGCTGCCCCTCAGTGTGGACCTGCCCGCAGTGGGCTCTGTCCTGCCTGTGCCTGGCCCTGCAGCAGCCCTGAGTCTGGAACAAACTCTCAACCGCGGAGTACGCCACGCACACTTGCTCCCTCATCTACTTCCTACGCCTTACCATCATTGCAGGTGAGGGGGGTTTCAAGAAAATGTTCAAGTCAAATGTCCCTTGCGGACTGACATAAGTGGGGTGCCAGTCAGGTCGGGGACTGATCATTTTAATAGTCAGCGTCTGGTCAAACTATACAAATATACATGCGTATACATATAACATGAACCCTTTAAAAAATGCTATATTTCACACAAACCTAGTTAATTTCCAGACTCATAAAGAACTCATAAACCACTTCTCTTTAAATTCAACACGACATTTATATAAAATGATATGATAATCCCTAGTGTGTGAATGTGTAAATTAATTCAGGTTTCCCAACAGCAACAGTAAAGAGTCTAATCACGAACAAAAAACAATGATTCACATTTCTTTTAGTTCAACCCAAAGCATCTTCATTCAGACATGTGTGTGTTTCTAAAATAGAGAAACAAACATCAGCATTAAGTAACATTAAATCTACAACTCTCTATAATTAAAAGTACAATTACTTATACACACACAAAAGGTTACCACACAATTATAAACTTACTTTTAAACTGATAAAAAGCTGGTAAACCTATAATTTAACTGTACAAATTACTAATAGAAAACTACCAAACACATTACTTGTTGTCAAGGATGCACACAAAATAAAACTTAATTGAGAAGCTGAACTGCCACCTGAGGGGGAACTACGAAGCCAGATTAGTGGTTATAGCGAGGTGTGTGGAGCGTAAAGGCAGAGTTTTCGGTTAAGTTGGCTAATACAAATCGATTATGAAATCGATTAGTCTATTGGTATGTGTTACAGACTAAATTAAATCAATTCATTTCATTATACTTTGATTTAATTTGGACAAAATGTAATAGTTTTTCTCCGTATCCTAATCTAACGGGGAAAGGGTCCGACCTACTGTAAATGCAGTATAAAAAAATTAAATAAAAATAGAATAATCAAGTCAGGAAACTTATTTTGTGATTTAAGCTATCGTCTGCATAGCAGTGGAATGCAATGCCGTGCTTTCCAAGTATGTACTGTAGCAAGTAAAGGGAGAATAACAGGGGGCCTAACTGAGCCCTGTGGGAACCCACACTGGAGTGGAGAAGAGTATATTGTGCTCCTCCAGTAGGCAACAATAGTTATGTTATGTATAATTATTTTTGATGTTCTACTAATTAAATCTTCTATATTTATTTCATACTGTCAGAAAATGGCAAAACCATAACCTTAACCCTCATTTATCCTTTACGATACAATCTCACCTTTATCTTTTAAATAGAATTGTGTTTAAATATTTTAGTAGCTCTGAGAGCTTTTGACAATATCCTCATCGACAGATTGATTTTGCTTAGTTCTCATTGGACCACACTTGTTCAAACCTCGAAGACTTTGATCCTCAATTATAAATCATGATTTTGTTTGTTCACTTTATGTTTTGATGTTCAAACAATACAAAGAACAATGGTGTTACGTCCTCTTTTTCCCCGGTAAAAAAACATAAGCCTCAAACTAACTAAAATAATGGCACTAATATAAGAATCACATTTCTTAGTACGAAACAGCAATAAAATACCTATAACAATATACAGTATATGTATACTTATAAATAACAATAAATAGGACCAGAAGTATTTCTCTTCTATAAGTTCACCACACATCACACAAGCTTTTTTAAAAGTTGAAGTCAATATATTTACTGAGAAATAAACCAAAAACATTTTAAAACAATAGAATAAATGAAGACCAGGCAATTGGGTGGTTCAGTTGCTGTCACAGCGGACACAGGAGAAGAGAGCGTTTCTGATGCTCTTCAAGAATCTCCTGACTCTGCTTTTTCTTTCGCCGCTGGTCACTTTGATAACCCCTGAACAACCACAAAGAAGTTAGTGCGATCTAAAAAACACATGAGACTGTGAGGGCTTTAGACATGTGACTTACCAGGCTCCATGTGAGCAGCTTCGTCTTCAAGCTTAAAATAAACTGTTTCTGGCTGAGCAGAGACTATTTGCTCGGGAAGAGTCACAGCCTTGAACGCAACACTTTGGACGTTCTTTGATAGCTGCAGAGTGACACTTGTTTCAGAGTCTCTGCTATCAAAGATTACGTTTTCAATGCTTTGGAAGCTCTTAGTCAGTGAAGGCTGTGGTGTGAGACTCTGTTGACATGAGAGAGGCTGAGCAATCACGGTTTCAATGCTTTGGCTGACTTCAGGGTCCTGCTCCACAGCGAAGAACGGATGCTCCAGGACTGCGAGGGGAATAATCCGTCCGCACTTGTCCGGCACTAGCATCTTTTTCAAGAGGTCCACAAAGTTCAGCAACTCCTCTCTCTTGGCCATGTGTCTGTAAGGTATTACCTGCAAGAAATTGAAGGTAAAACCTGTCTAAGTAATCCTTTTGAAACACAGCAATGCAGTCAATAAATACAGTACATTGTAGAAATACTTGTAATGACATTATTATCTAAAAAAAGAAAACCTACCTCCACCAGGTCATCAAGAGACCTCAGGTGGAAACATTGGTTTCCTCTGAAGTGATGCCCAGTCTGTAATGCAAACTTCCATGGAGTCTACAGAGAGACAACCTTTTGGTTACTTGTTTATCCTGAGAGACGGACGGACGGACACACACACCTACCTTAAGTGTCCAGATTTGCTGGTTGTAGCTCCCCTCGATGTTAAAGTAGAAGCTGCTTTTTTGTCCACAGTTCAATAGAACATCTGGAGGCTGACCTACCAAGTCCACAATGAGCTTAAGCGCGTCATATTCGTGGTCCGCGGGGAACAGTCCAAAGCCTGCTGCTATTTCCGCAATCACAGCACCGAGAGACCACATGTCAATCTGTTCACTGAAGTCCATGCCCAGGAGGACCTCTGGTGCCCTGAAAGGAGAGGAAAACTTATTTTTAAGCTCACTTTTGTTTATTTTCCTTTACAGAAACAGACTTTTAATGTTTGCATCAAAGCCGCAGCCTCTGTGCCACATGTTTTATTATTCCTACCTGTACCACAGACTCTGAACAGCGGTCCCTGGAACGGCCTCGGACACGTGGCGAGCCAGGCCGAAGTCAATGAGTTTGACCTGAAGCGGATGCTGCAAGCGGTTCACCACCATAATATTCTCAGGCTTTATATCAGCGTGGATTATTTCCAGGGCCTCAAGGTGGAGCAGTGCTGTTGTCAGCTGAAGAAACACAAAGATTGAGATGCTTTAGGATCACAACAATGTACATTTTCAGTTCTGATTTCCCATTAAATCTCAAGTAATTAAATGATGCTCCTAAAGAAAGGAATGATTCCACATACTTGACGTAAAACTGGATGGATCTCAGCTATGGGCAGAGCGTTGTGTTTTCTCTGCAGCATGTACTCATAGAGACTCAGGTCTAGGAGCTCAAACTCCAAACAAATTAACTTTTCATGGTAGAACGAGCCATACCATTTCACCAGACTGCATTTATCGGAATCGAGAGTCCCTGCAGCTTCTGGAGATATTTAATCTGTTGAAGAAATACAAAATGTGATTATTGCCATTTGTTTGTCCCCTTCAAATACGACGGTTGTAGGTTTCTCATTTCAAAATATCTCATAATCCAGCTTCAGATTTTATAATACGAGTTTTGTAACCTACCTCTTTCCATAGCTCGCTCAGAAAGGGGTCTATCCTTGGATATTTTAACGGCCTTCTTTGTGTTGGTTACATTGTCCATACACATGGCCACCTTACCAAAGCTGCCTTCCCCGAGAAAGGCCTGCACCTCGTAGCCGAGGACAGCAGGGTCCCCTCGTGGATCCGGGAAATCGTCTGTGGAGGAGAGTATGGACACAAAAATGAAAGTTATATTTTCACAGTCCCACAGAACAGCACATCACATTCAGTCAGTGCTTGTCACTGATTTCTAATGCAGATCAAATATTCCTATTTGTTCTTTCTTTTGTGCCTGTAACATATAAACGTGTTCAAGAAACAACGCCCTCAACATAGGTTTTTGTCAATTCCAGATGTATAGTACATGTCTGGAAAAATGGAAAAAACTATCATGTAAATGGTCTGAGAAATAATAGGCAAAATACAAATACTGAAAAAACAGTGCTTATGAGAAATGTTAGGATATTTCTGTAAGTGGTGTGAGAAATGAACTAGTCAAAGTATTAAACATTACGTAATTCCAATTATTAAACCTTTTTGAGCACCACTGTTCCCCCTAAAATAAAGTCACATTTTGTAATATCAGGAAATACAATTGCTACGGATATTATTGCAGCATTTTATCTACAAAGATATACCCAATTACGAAGATTTAAGATTCAAAAATGAATATTTCTAACATGTTACATGTTACTACTCATTAGTTATTTAAATGAGAAAACATGTATTTGATCACTTAGTACTAAGCCTGGTCCTTATTTTGTAACCACCAACTAAAACAACTGTGTATTTATACATAAACTTAAGTCTGTTTTTTCAGGACTTGACTTTACTGGACTGTTGTTTACTACTCTCTGCTTACCTGTGACTTGACATGTCACTTATTGTCTCTGATAGTTCCTGAATCACAAATCGTACTTGTGTTGAAAAGGCGGTGAGGAGCAACAGATGTGGTGGTCTGTGTGTCTCAATTTCAGGTGAATAACTGAACAGTTGGCCTGGAAGCCGGTGCCATCCATAGTGTGTTCTAAACTTCCAGTGTTCCATTCTGGAGTTCCATCCACTCTGATGGAACATTCCAAAATGAAGGCATGCAATTTGAGGAAACATGTAAAATGTATTTTAAGGAAAACATGGAAGTCACATAAATGTAAGTCCTTTAATGGGCTGAGATGTTAAAAAGTGAAAAGAGAAGCTTTTTTTACACACTCTGATCCACATGTGAATACAAATCACAGATCCATTTAGTATTTTTCGTCTATTTTGTCAATAAAACTGCTAGTTGAGTGCATGCATCAACATCAACCTACTAACAGCAGCAGAAACCAGTCAGCTGCAGGCTGTTTATAAGAGCCACTCAGTAGGTCACTACTGCTATAGTGGTGATACAGAATATGCATGACCATATGATATATACAATTCTCAGCATCTTATTTATTTAGAAAAGTTGGCTTTAATTAACTTTAATTTTTAGGAAGCTATATTTTAAGCACATGGCAAGTTATAAATTGTTTAACCTGCATCTTTTGAAAAATGTGGTTAAAATCCAGAAGTACTGTAGCATTACTACAGTGTAAGAATACTCAGTTGCAAGTGAAAGTCCTACATTTAAAATTGTACTTTAGAAAAAGTATAAGCATTAAAAAATACTTTAAGTACCAAAGGTCCTCATTATGCAAAATGCCTATTTTAAACACCGGATATTGTTTTATTATTTATTCAAATGATTGATCAATTCATGTGTTCATCACTTCAGCGTTGCTCTTGGTAAAGGTGGGGTTTATTTTAGTTACTTTTTACACTTATGGGTAGCTTAAACTAGAATATTATATTATGTGTGTTGATTTATATTTGTTATTAATAACCTAAATCTGCAAAGTTTCTAACTAAATATATAAAATAAATGTAGTTGAGTCAATGGTACAATGTTGGCTAACAAACTAGTTGAGTAAAAGTACAAAGAGCACAATGTGAAAATACTCACAAAAAAATTGAGGTTGTTGAAAGTAATACATTATGTTGTCGACAAGGGCTGTCAGATTTAAATACTTTAAATGTATGGTTAAAGATTTCACAGCCTCCCACAAATATTCTATATATCCTTAAACGTGCTGCTTATTAGTGAATCTGATATGTCTACAGAACCCCATCAATCCTATAACTCAATCCAGTGGTGCAGGAATGAGTCTTAAATCCAGGAATTAGTTTTATCATTTGAGGCAATGTTTTTTTGGAAACTTATTTTTACTTTTTCTTTAAAAACATAGCAACTTTGAAATACATTCAGTATCAAAAACATAATTCAGGAGTGTTTATGTTGTCCATTTATTTATTTGTATTTTCTTTAATACATGAAATTAAGTGCTGGAAAAAGAAACTGACAGAAAAACAACTCAATAACTGATCAGGAGGAAGACATTTCTTAATCAATTCTGCTTAAATCCACTAAAACTTAATCAATGTCTTATTGAATGCTTTGGGAAATGACTTACAACTCAATGACATTTAAAAGAAACGCATGCACATAGAAGCCCAGTTGGAATGACAATTAGAAATCATTGGCCCTGAAGAGATAAACAATTTCATTTACATGAACATGAACATGCTGTGACCACAGGATAGGGCATTTGCCTCCATAAACACCTTTTCCTGGCCTGGCCTGTCCTCATCTCAGTGCCGCCGTCAGACCCGTCTGCTTCAAGCCTTCTCCACCCATCGTCTCCCTTTTTGTTTTCCAAGCAGTGCCAAGCCAGAATCTTAATGAGAGCGGTTTCAGCTCGCACACACTCCATCCCAGCCGGAAAGGAGCAACTTGGCTCTCCACCTGATTTTTGGCAGTCTGTCTGCCTCATCCAGCGTGGCCAGAAGGCCGGACCCAGATCCACCCATTGGTAAGTTAATCCACAAGTGGCAGAGCGCACCAACCAGTCTCTAACTGAGCTGGCAACATGCTTTGGGAGAGAACCAAGGTCCAGATCTGCTGCATACTTCACCAGCTTCTGCCGACTGTTTGCTGCAGCCTCGCTCAGCTCTGGAGAAGCACTCGGGTTCAACTTCTTCCTGGTAGTAGTGGGGAATTCCCCAGGAAGTGAGAAATTGCCCAAAAGCTGACTCCTAGATGCTTCAGACGGCTGCTCTATGGACATCCAAATCAGGTCAAAGGAGGATCCCAGAAGACGCAGGAGGCGAGAAGGCCGGAGATGTCTGGGTCTGGGCATGTGGTGGTAGTCTTCAGCGTTTGTCAGCAGGGTGTACGGGCGGATCGGCTGCGAGTAGGACTGCAGACGTTCTCTCAGATTAAGAAATGGAGCATCCCAAATTGTGTCCTCCTTGATTTTAACAACAGTCAAATTCTGGTTTTGTGTTGAAACGTTAGAAGCTCCATGTAGAAGGACAGAAATCCAGCAGAAACAGACTCCACAGTCGAACAGCTCAGGCATGGTTATTAAGGTTCGGATGGGACAACAAACTGATGAGAAATTGCTCCTAGTTCTCCTTACTACCCGTTTAGTTATGGGTGCTTCAGGGACTCTGTGTACCTACACCAGAAATCCTTGAGCTTGAGAACAATAACATGGTGAAATCAGTGTATTATACCACAAACGGCAGACATAATATTGAGTATGGCCAAAGCACAGCTAAGCTCCTGCTTCTTCTTCTTCTTCACGGCTCTGATGTTTTGGCTGTTTTCAAAGCAAACAAATCCGAGAAGCTATAGATTAGTCTAACGCTTTATCAGAATTCATTACCAGATGTCACAGATATTTCTATGAGATAGAAAAATAGGTCCACATATTTCACAGCTAGCATCAAACAAGAAAGAAGAGTAATCATTTGACCTTGATTTGGCAGAGCAAGACAAACAACAGCTCTCTCACGCAAAGACTGCACTTGATGAGTTATGCAGACAAGCTTCAGGGTAAATTCCCTTCATGGAAGCTTGGATAATGACATATCACTCAGGGTTTTTAAAGAAAGAGGATAGATGCTAAAGGTTAGTAGGACAATAACCCCATTTATTCTCATCTAAGGAAAATCAGCTGTCAAAGGCACGTCATGGCGTAATATCAAATAAATTCAACATATACTGTAAACACTTCTAATTTAAGTTTTCTTTACATCAACATCATAATAATACACCTTATAAATACAGTTGCATATAGTTACATTAAGACGCAAACAGCAGGCATGAACTAAGAAATATTGCATTTTTAGTTGATTAGGCGTCAGGTCTGAAATATGTGTGTGTGTGCGCTCTTTTAAGAAAGCCTGACTTAACGCAGCATGTGTGTGATTATATTTCAATAAAATGTTGCGTTTAGGTTGACCTTCTCATCCACCCGCCTCTTTTTTTTCCCTCGCACTCAAAGTGAGAAAAGCTGGTCTGATTTTTCCTGTTGCCGGGCAGATTGTGGAGGAGGTCTCAATGTGGAGGCGGGTACGCTGCGAATCGTCGGGGCGCTGTGGTCTGATTCCTTGGCTCGATCTTCCAGGAACTTATCAAACTCTGGTAAGGACAGTTAAGTTAACGGTAAGTTTGTGCACGTTCAATTAAGCAAGAATTATTATACATAATTTTTACACTAAAATTCAAAACATACCTTCACTGGACACCCCCTCGCTAACTGAAGAGTGTTCTTCCTGCATTACAAACACTAAAACATAAGAGGTAAAGATCATTATATATATATATAAATAATAATAATATATATATATACGATCATATATATATCACTATACAGTGGGGCAAAAAGGTATTCTACGTCAGCCCCAATTGTGCAAGTTTCTCCCACTTAATAAAGATGAAGAAGGCTGGTAATATGTTCATCCTAGGTATACCTCAACTATGAGAGACAAAATGAGAAGAAAAAAAATCCAGAAAATCACATTGTGAGATTTTTAAAGAATTTATTTGCAAATTATGGTGGAAAATAAGTATTTGGTCAATAACAAAAGTTCATCTCAATACTTTGTTATATACCCTTTGTTGGCAATGACAGAGGTCAAATGTTTTCTGTAAGTCTTCACAAGGTTTTCACAATTTAGCCAAATCACATTTTTAATCTGTTCTCGACTTTTCTAAAGAACACATGGTAATTGAGGGTCAATGTGATGTGGTATATACAGGACTGTCTCAGAAAATTAGAATATTGTGATAAAGTTCTTTATTTTCTGTAATGCAATTTAAAAAAACAAAAATGTCATACATTCTGGATTCATTACAAATCAACTGAAATATTGCAAGCCTTTTATTATTTTAATATTGCTGATTATGGCATACAGCTTAAGAAAACTCAACAATCCTATCTCAAAAAATTAGAATAGTTCCTCAGACCAAGTAAAAAAAAAAGATTTATAACAGCAAAACACAATCAAACATTTGAAAATGTCCATTAATGCACTCAGTACTTGGTTGGGAATCCTTTTGCACGGATTACTGCATCAATGCGGCGTGGCATGGAGGCAATCAGCCTGTGGCATTGCTGAGGTGTTATGGATGCCCAGGATGCTTCAATAGCGGCCTTTAGCTCATTAGCATTGTTGGGTCTGGTGTCTTTCAGCTTCTTCTTCACAATACCCCACATATTCTCTATGGGGTTCAGGTCAGGGGAATTTGCAGGCCAATCGAGGACAGTAATGCCATGGTCAGTACACCAGTTACTGGTGGTTTTGGCACTGTGGGCAGGTGCCAGATCATGCTGGAAAATGAATTCCTCATCTCCATAGAGCTTTTCAGCAGACGGAAGCATGTAGTGCTCTAAAATCTCTTGGTACACAGCTGCATTTACT